AAGCCCTGGTCTACAGAATTCACCAGAAAATGGTGTCTACAGCTTATGTGACACCATGGACATCTGCAGTGTGTTGGTGTAATGGCCTCTCTCCTCTGTGTTGGGCTGAAGGAAAGCTAGAAGGAAATGTGAGCATCATCTCCCACAACACCACCATGGAAGGGGGGCATCTAGTGAACTCAGGTGACACCCAGACACTCACAAGGCCATGCAGACAGTTCTTCAAGTTTGGCAATTATTTATTTTTCTTACAACTTGGTACTCATTGATAATATAGAATGAGAAAACTAATATACTTTAAAATCTGAAAGGAAGCCACAATACAAACCTAAAATATTTAAATATAACTAGATAAAGTAATTTTACTTGTGTCTACAACTGAGGGAATTTTAGCAGTTTGTGTACCATCTTCTAGCAGTCCAGAGTGTTAATAATGTGGTACCCTTCCATGAGTCCCAATGTGCCCAAGAGATGGGCAGAACGGACTGTAAGGAAAGGTCTGTGTAAAAGTTGGGAGGTTAGCTTGTGAATAAAGGAAAAATAGTCTTTGTGAACTGAAGGGGAGGAGATGAAAAATGAAATAACAGCTTATTCCCAAAGACTAAATGTAACCCTAGGTGTGTGGGGGGGGGGGCGCTAAACAGACACAGGTAGGGTCTCTTCCAGCAGCTTCCCCATGAATGAAGCAACTTGAAGAAAAAAGGATTTGTATTTTTTCCTGCTTGTGTTTGCTCCCCCCTTCCTAAATTTAATAGCTGTGACAGAAGGTTGGATGAGAGCTTTCTCAGTCTTACCTGTCACCACAGAGCTGTCTTTGTCAGCTTGTGAGACTGTGGACAGCATACTTTGAAATAGACCATCAAAGCCACAGCTCACCAGAAAGCCCTGCTAGCTGTGCCTTCTTTGAAGCAGAAGCTCTATCTTCGCACCATCTCTCATTTCTCCCCAGAATCACAGCATCCACTTGGGGTCCTCTACACTTGACCCACCAGCAATCTCCCGTTTGAAAAGAAGTGAGCAAGTGAAGCCTGCCAAGCCTCCGTCCAGCACACAGCTCTCTAACAGTTTCCTGTCATACTCACAATACAACACAACCCCACTCATAAGCTAGGCCTTGCCCACATCTCCAACTTCATCTCCACCAGGGCCCCCACCCTCAATGTCCCTGAAACCCTTTTCTTCCCTTTCCATTTGGTAGGAGTCACGTTCTTTCTGACTCAGCCAGTCAGTGTGTCCTAACACAGGTTCCATAACTCCTGAGTGGCATGAATAGCGTTAAGCCACTTCTCTGTGGCCTCACGGGACTAGAGATTCTTGCTGTTGTAGTACATGACTTTCTCATGCACCACACACAAAGCATGAGATGAGAGGTTCTCGGATGCACACTGCCAGTGACTCTGGGAGAGTGACACTCTCTTGTTTTCTTGCACAGAGAACTGTCCAGAGTTGGAAGGCACCTTTTTATTCAAGACACAGACATCATTTTATTTTTTTAAAGAAATATTTAAGTGTATTGGTGTGCTGCCTCCATATATGCCATGCAATGCAAGGCCAAAGGAGACTCACATCCCCTGGGACTACTGACAGATGTTTGTGAACCACCATGTGGGTGCAGGGAATTGAACCCAGGTCCTCTGGGGTGGGGAGGAAGCCAACAAGCTTAACTGCTGAGAATCTTAACTGCCGTGCTCTGATTTTCCCAAAACTATTTTTTTTTTTTTTTTTTGATACTTGGGGCAAACCCAATTCTTACCCTTAATCACTCCTAGTAACTGAATGTGAAGTAAGATACCACACAAATACCATATCATCCCATTACCCTGTTCAATTGTCTCCGTGTGTTTACATCAGTAAGAAATTTCACATTCATGTCTTTGTACTCTGGAACATCCTGCCTTGGCTACTATCTGAGTACCAGACTAAGGAATTTATAAATAAAGTTATTCCTATGGTCTAGAGGCTGGAAAGTCTGAGAGTATGATGTCATCAAGCAAGGCCCTTCCTGCTACATCCTAACATGACAGAGTATAGGTATCACGTGATGAGTAAGAGGTAGCATGAAAGCTAGTCATTTTCTCATAAAGACACCAATGTCATCATAGGGTTACACACTCATCATTTAATATACCTACTTTCCAAAGGACCCATCTCCATCAATCATGGTCTACATGGATTTGGGTATTGTGTTTAAAAATACATTTAACGGTATCTTTTGTAACACCCCACAACAGTTTGCAGTATGAAAACACATTTCTTAATGTCATTTAATCCCATTTTTTTTAACCTGGAAGGAGAGTGTCAGTAGTCATATGAGATTCTTACCCACATTCTTGCAGGTGTTCCAATCTAGACTTTTCTGTGAGTCCTGGCAGACATATTTACTAGTAAATTCCTTGGGAAATAAAACCTTGTCCCTCCTTGTTCCTTGCTGAACCTGCAAAGCCTAGAGCAATACTTTGTACCAACTAGATACTATTTATTGATAATATATTCCATGTGTCCCAAACCTCTCCAAACATGTTTGTACCATGTATTTTCCTGGGCTTTGTTATCATTTCTTTTTTCCAAATGTCTTTTGGTCTTCACTCTGCTTACAACAAGATGGAGAGAAATAAAAAATAAAGGATATTTCAAAGGCGATTAATACAGAGTACCATTCAGCCTATGCTACTAAAGTGGGGCAGAAAGCCAAGCAAGGCACTTCTAAGGGCAAACCCCCTTAGGCTCAGCATCCCTTCACTAGTGGAGCTCTGAAGCACAGCATCAAAAGGGATTATGAGGTGGCCTTCCTGTGACCTATAAAGCACCATATGCCCTGCAGATACTCACTGGATCTCCAAAAGATTCTGATACAGCAAGCACCCCCCAGAGTTTTTTATGTGGGCAATCTAGAAACTGTGAAGTCTTCAGCAAAGTAATGAATAAAGCAAGGGCTTGAGTGGAGCTTCAGCTCACATCAACAAAATCACCTTTGGAAGCTCTGCTCTGCATCTGACAAAAGACAAGCCACATTCCAGGGCAGTACTCCACGAATGGTTAAACATATTGGTCTTTAAAGGGTCACTTTTAGCCACTCAAACTCTGAATAATACCTATTGTCCTGTGATAGTTACAATGTTCTCAAAGGTGTCAGTGGTGATTTACACATGTGTTCTATTTTGCCAGTTTACAAATTAAATGCTTAGTTTCGTTTATGTAAATACAGACAATTATAAAAAAAAAAAAAGGGACACGTGTAAAGCAAGCACGACTGTAGGCTGTTCAAGTCTCTGTCCTGTGAAGTCTAAACCCTCTCCCTAATTACTCTTTAATATGAGGAAAGCCAGTCAGTAAAAATCTGTGTTTGTAAACAAATGGAAAGGACTTTCTCTTAAATGTCCCTTACTCTACAAATGAACTGCATGGAACTTCTTTGTACAGGGAACTTTGATGGTGCATTTAAGAATGGCACACCACCAGCTTCTAAAAGCCAAGCAGTCATAAGGATCCTCTTACATAAAAATAGTCAATCTTACTCACAGCCTCCTCCTATTACGAATTAGCTACTTCAGAGAGCACCACCCCCAACCAGAATTCTATCCTTCGCTCCAGTTCTCCTGAGTCAGAAGCCCTAGAGTGTAACTTTTAGAATCATAGTTTAAGCAAACCAGGGGCTTTTTTTTTTTTTGGTGGGGGGTGTAGGAAAATGGTTCAGAAGTCTGGTTACACCAAAGCCAGCATTCTGTGAATGAACAAACCAAGGATGCGGAAGGGTAGGAAGTGCTGAAAGACACGGAGCTTATAACAACAGATACCCTGGAGAAGCTAAGTGCTTATGTCCTCCTGGTTCCATTTACTCTAATGCAAACTGCGTTTAGTTAAGCTTCACTCTCTGCTTTTCTCCGTGTGTGCCAACATCGTATTCCCTCGTGTACAGAAGGGAAATGATAACGTTAGTGCCTACTTATGAGTTCTGTGAGGGTTAACTAAGATAATGTTCATTATTTAATGCACTTAACAAGGTACATGTTATATCGTACTTATTGGCACATAACCCGTGCCTGTTTAACTGGGGAGGAGTCTCTAAGCCACTGCAGTTACAAAATGTACAATAAAGCCATGTTTAGCTTTGAAAGTCTAAGAACACCATAAACTCATCAGGATAAAGGTTTAATTTCATGGTATCTAGTGTCTTCCTCCCCCTCCCCCCAGCCACCACCTATGTCTGTCAAAAGTCCAGAGAATAACTAGTCACAAATCACTTGGCGGTGAGCTAACTTCAGCTGGCCCGATGGTTGCATGACACTAGAGAATTCATCTCTCGATGTCAACGATTATCTACAGACAAAAAGCCCCTTGCTCCTCTACCGGTGCCTCTCGGGCGCTCCGGGAATAGATAACAGTTGGTATAGGGAACCCTGGCCATGGCAAATGTCCTCTCTAAGTCTCCAAAGTCTCCCTGCCGTCATTGAGTCAACCAGCAACGTCATCGGGCCCGGCGGCAAACAACAGCTGGGCCCAGCTGTGCTGAGAGACCGACCCCGTCCACCTCCTAAGAAACAGAAAAGTACAGAAGCGCCATCCCAAGACCTCAGCGGAGGACACGGCGCGGGCTATGAGCAGCTGGGGCTGACCCCGCAACCTCGTTCCCTAGGGGCAAGGGTCAAATGTGACCCTGAAGGACCCAGCAGGCCCTGGCGGCGCCAGAAGGTTAACAGCCTTCTCGCTCGGTTCCTCCGAGCGGCGAAAAGCCTGTACCAAGCCCGGACAGCTGCCGGAAGTGCGTCACCCCGCCTGCGGGGATGCCGGGAGTTGTAGTTAGGAGGCTGTATCTCTCGCATAATTGTTAAGTTTTATCAAACAAGAAAACACCCTGCAGCTCTGGAGGGCGAGCTGTCCGCTTTCTGCCGAGTCTTAAAGAGTCCTGGTTTCCCCACTCAGCTGAGTGCGTGCGCGCAGCGCGCAGGCGCAGCCGCGGACTACAAATCCCAGCGTGCCCTGCGCTGCGCCCGCCGCGCCCGGCTGTCGTCGTCGGTGCGGGCCGCGTGAATGGAGCTCCGCGCATGAGGCAGCGCCTGGCAGGGCCTGCGCGGCGCCTACCTATACCCCGAACGTGAGTGTGGTCCGCGGGCGTGCGCGTGCGCACTCGCTTTCGCGCGGGCAAGCGCCCGGCCGTTGGCGCGCTAGCGGGGCGACGGTGCAAGGCGGCCCCGCGCGCCCCGCCGGCCGGTGGTTGCGGGGTCTCCCGCCTGGCCCGGGGCTGCGGGCAGCCGTGGCGGCCGCGGGGGACCGCAAGGGGCGGCGCAGAGGCGGAGCGGGCCGGCTGCGGGCCGCGCAGGAAGCGCCGAGCATGCCCCGTGACAACATGGCCTCCCTGATCCAGCGCATCGCCCGGCAGGCTTGCCTCACCTTCCGCGGCGGCGCCGCGGGCTCCGAAACGCCCGCCCCGGGCTTCCCGGAGAACCTGAGCCAGCTGAAGAGCCTACTGACCCAGGTGCGCGCCGAGGACCTCAACATCGCGCCGCGGAAGGCGCTACCGCAGCCGCTGCCGCGCAACCTGCCGCCGGTCACCTACATGCACATCTACGAGACCGATGGCTTCAGTCTGGGTGTGTTCCTGCTCAAGAGCGGCACGTGCATCCCGTTGCACGACCACCCTGGCATGCACGGCATGCTCAAGGTGCTCTACGGCACGGTACGCATCAGCTGCATGGACAAACTGGACACGGGTGCGGGGCCGCGGGTGCCGCCGCCTGAGCAGCAGTTCGAGCCGCCGCTGCAGCCCCGGGAACGGGAGGCCGTGCGGCCGGGCGTGCTGCGCTCCCGGGCCGAGTACACCGAAGCCAGCGGGCCCTGCGTGCTCACGCCACACCGGGACAACCTGCACCAGATTGATGCGGTGGACGGGCCAGCCGCCTTCCTGGACATCCTGGCTCCACCCTACGACCCGGATGACGGCCGGGACTGCCACTATTACCGTGTGCTGGAGCCCATCAGACCCAAGGAGGCCTCCAGCTCTGCCTCCGACCTGCCCAGAGAAGTGTGGCTCCTGGAGACCCCACAGGCCGATGACTTCTGGTGCGAGGGAGAGCCCTATCCAGGCCCTAAGGTTCTCCCTTGAAGAGCCCACTGCCCGGGAACTGTGGGCCAAAGTTGTGCCCTGCCTTGCTCGAAAAAGGCCTGGCTGCCCGCGACCTACCATAAGGGCTTCTCTCCCTGGCCCCTCTCCTGAGCGACGCATCTACTGGAGTGACCAGCTCCTCATCTTGGACAGCCTTGGGAAGCACGGCCCTCTGGAGTACAGCCACCGGGCACAGTTATGCAGGGCGGGTGGGCGGGAGGCTAGGTTGCTTCCTGGTGCTGCCACTGCCACACGGGCTTTGATTTAAGTGAGTGGGGCAGGGGACCCTAAAGCGCTTCCATCCTAAAGCCATAATGAAAATCTTGTTTCTCATTCTCCAAAATACACTAAATGGTTTTGAACTCCTCCTCCTCCCTTCGATGACTAACATTTGTTTTCTCTCCTGCCCATGGGACCTTTGGCTCCTAATAATTTATTGCGGGTTGTGCATGACCTTGAATTATTTTTTAGTTCAAGTCATTGGTTTGGTTTTAGAAAAACAAAACTGATTTTCTAAAGTGAGATCTGAAAAGACGTTATTTCCAGCACCAGGGGTTCACCGCAACCGTGGAGGACGATTTCCGTCCTCCTGGCCTAGTCACCACCTTTGGTATTCTCAGGTAGCCTTTAGTAAGAAGTTCATGGACATGGATTCCCTGAGGTCAGTCCGGTAGACTTGCCCTTGAGCCTCCCTTGAGCTGTCATTAACACAGTTTTGTTGTTGGGGATTCAGCTTTGAAGCAAAGACTATGTTATCCTCAAGTGACTTTTCTTCTTAGTGTACTTCAAAAATGATCCAGCAGATTCAGAGGAGCTGAATCTATTCTGCTTCCAGATAACTGAATGTAATGTTCCTGGCCACCTGTTGAATTCCGTACTATTTACTTCCAGCATCTTCCTATAAAAGTAGAGGTCAGGTGGATACTCTTTATCTTTTGCATTCTCCCAGGAACCCTGCAGAGGGGCTATGGTTCCAGCAGTGCTGCTGGGGGTGGGAGTGGGGGAGGAGTATCCCCCTCCTGTAAACAGAACCACTATTGGCTACTGCTGTCCCTTCCTGTAGTGCCCTGAAAGGAGGGGGGGCGGGGGGCGAGGGGAGCAGCCTGGGCTCCATCCTCTGCACTATAAAACTCCAGCATTTAGGAAGTAGAGTCCGGGGATCAGAAGTTAAAGGTCAGACTTGGCTACATAGGGAATTTGAGAGGAGCCTTGGATACATGAGACACTAACATAAATCTGTGTGTGTGTGTGTGTGTGTGTGTGTGTGTGTGTGTGTGTGTGTGTGTTTGTGTGTGTGTATACATATATAATGAATACATGGATAGATACTGAGAATTTAGCCATTTTAGAGCACCAAGGTTGGAGATTAAACCCTTGTGCCAACTCTTGCAGCAAACACTAGCAGCTGTCTGCAGCATTATCACGGGCTAAATACCTTTACCTTGTTTACAGATGTGTTGGCACCATAGCTTCTGGCAGTGGAGCACTGGTTATCCCTTTTCACTATTTACAGGGTTCCTTTTTATCACAGGCCTTTTCATAAAGACAAACTGTAGAAATGTGTCCAGCTGTCTTCTAAGCCCTCTGGATTGCTCATGTGGCAATAGAATTGTAATACCTGTAATAAATGGGTGGCTAGTGTTTGTTGACCTGGTAGGGAAACTGCATTGGACTCCACATATCCAGGTTACATAGACCCAGGATGATGGGGTGTTTGTCCCCAGTCATTAAAGTAGTCTGAAAAAAAGGAAATTACTGATGCTTTGGCTTTTAGGTGTTTTTGTTTTGTTTTAATAAAAATGAAAACAGGCCAGTGAAAACCTGTTGGAAATCTGACACAGGAACTTCCACCGGGGCTGGTAGATTTTGAGTTGCTTCCCATTGTGGCCCTTGAAGTGTTTCGGATTCCTGTGAAGTCGCTCTTTGAGCCATTCACTAGAAAATCTAGATAGCAATGAGTGTAGTTTCAGCCACATACAATTTTTGGATTGTAGCAAAGGTTGATTCTTTCACAAAGATTGTTCAGAGTCATATGTATGTTTTAGCATGCTTTGAGGTACTTTAAGCCTGCCTAGAACTAGGCTAGTAATAATTATTAAGAAGGCCTTTATTGCAAAAAAGAAGGGGGGAATGTTAAAGATTTTATAAGCAATTTGGAAGGAAAAAAACCTAAGGTGCTTTTCAAAAGAATTACTGAAATTGTTCTGGGCTAAAACAGCAATACTGTGTTCTTTATTCGTTAATAATAACAGTGGAACTATCGTTTCACTAATAAATTGAATAAACTTATGGTGAAAACAGTGTAACATGTTATAATGAGCCACTATGGAAGGAATATGCTCATCAACTAAGATAAAATGCAGAAAATTCCTTGCACTTCTATGCATAAACTATTAGCTATAACTGCTGCTGTTGTGTTTTCATATAGGTCTTCACTACAGGTCTAGAAGCCGGGGTAAAAATTACCTTCTCATTTCCTTCGGGAAGACCAATGAGCACAATGGTATTAGTCACTTAACTTTTCTGGTGAATAATTAATGCAATAACTGCAGCTCATGGATGAGAAACTGTCTGTCTGTCTAAATACTCTAAAGCTTTTAAATTCTGTAGTTATATCAATGACCAGTTACATTAATGTAAGATTTTTCGTACCTTCCTACTCCTTTGAGAATTGATGGGTTTAATACAAAATGCTGCTGATTAAATGAAAAACCCTGCCTTTTAAGTAACATGTGTTATCAATAAGAGTGAGTTCTCTGACTTTTCAACATGGCTAGAGTCTCTGGCTATCAAAATGTACACCTTTCATCCCCCCATTGCATTGTCTTGTAGGTTCCTCAATCTTGATATCTGGGGAGGACTTTGCCCACTTCTATTGCAAATGAGTCCTCTGCTTTAGCAATGTGTCCCCACTTCAGACTTCTGCCATTGCCATTCAACTGTCCTGACAGCATTTACTCCTAGACCTGCAGTCCTGAATTCAGAGCTTAGGGTTACACAGCATTCAGATGTTCCAAATGCTCATTGGTCCATTGCACTGAAGTTTCTGCTGTCAAAGATAATTTGTTAATGATACCTGAGCTTTAAATGCAGGGGTGGTTACATTTCTGAGTAAAATTTGTGTACTCATGGGAAATAAAGGCACGTTTAAAATTATGTGGAAATAATGTTGGTTATTACAAAGTGGAAAAGGGAAACATTACCTACGATGATAACTGTATTTTAATTATTTTTAAAAGCACACAACATAGATTGTATTGTACCAAAAGCCAATGACCTACAGATTTCCAAAGACCAAGAAGTAGTGTAAACTTAAAATATCTCTATTTTCCTGAGAGTGGTCTTTGAAACGTGATGACTGAAAACGCATCTGAGAGTGTTTAATGTCTAATTACACTATTCTGCTGCAACAGAAAAGGCCACTTTTGCATTTAACCTCAAGAAAATAACAAAACAAAGTGAACTTTTATCTTAGGTGGAAAAATTCTTCAAGAGTTTTCATCTCTTGGTCTTTTCTTATGAATTTGATGGTAGTTTGAACTGGTAGCATTTAGGTGTCTGCACCTACTGCTTCCATGTACACACTCAGTTGAGACACTTTTATAATCAAGTAATTTACCTTGATCACATTAGCAGTTAGGATATGGAAATTAAATAACCTTTCTTGAGCAAGTTATTTTTAGGTTTAATCAACAGTTTATGATACAAATTAACCATCTCAGAGGCATGAATCTTTAAGGTATCATGCTCCACCAAAAAAAAAAAAAAAATTACAGTAATATCCCTTAAAGTGCAGGGGAAGAGATCACAGGAACCAAACTTAAACTTTCTGTGCTGATTTCTTGGGCAAACTTTTAAAAATGTCTTGAAAATTGGCCTAAATGCTTTAAGCTGAGAAAGAAACCTGATACTGACTAAACCTGCTGTGTAACAATCTGGGGGCAAATGCTACAAGGTTGGCCCTGAGCAAACAGGAGCTAATATTTTAGGACTTGGTGAGGCTTACCACCACACCAAGGTGAAACTGATCACACAATCAGTGTGTTTAACATTGGAGAGTTCTTTTTGCTTTGTTCCTTAAATGGCATGTAGTCCTCTTAAAATCATGATTGGAGATGCTCTACAATTAAAGTTTGGAAAGATGGTTAAAAATGTAGGTGTTATTGCATCTTTAAACAACAAAAGCTTCTGGGAAGAGAAGTATTTGTTTAAAAGTTACTGTAATGTGGCATTACTTTATAGTTGCCAATGTTGGATAAACAGTGATAATACTCCTGACAGTTGGCAAGCCTGAATCCAGTGAGAACTTACAAGAAAAACACTGTGTTTTTTCTGGAAAGAAGTTTCTACGTTCTTGAAATGGGGATGAAGGGAGGTAATGCAGAAAAAGAATTTTAGTTGCTGCTGTAAATTGAGTCTCAAATCCTAGTGCTGTTAGCACCAAAGATGTGACCCCCCCCCTATACACACACACACTGAAATACAGGCTCTTGACTAGCAGCTATCAGCTAAAGGGACTGTACAGGGACCAGAAGCAAGAGAAGGGTTTCCTGATGAGACTGGTTATAGAAGAAACTGGACTTTTAAGTATTTATGTCCAGATTCTCAGAGTAAAGATGCTAACAAAGACATGATCAGCTTGCTTTGTAGGGTAAGTGGATAGGTCAGTGATGGGAGATGTCATTGAAAAACTACTCGTTAACAGGTCAGATTATTATTTTGGGTTTAAGAGAAAATCTTAAAAGGTTCCCAGTAAAAGAAACCTTAAACTGTATTATTGTGCAAACCATTATCTGGTATCTTGGGGGAGGCTACTTACCTACACAATTTAGATTGTCTTGGAGTTCTACAGGTTGGTGCTCACCTACATATCTTACCTAACAAGCTATTTTGAGGATCACACTCCTAGATCCACCAAGTTTATGACAAATAATCCTTCCAAATATAGACAATTAACTGAGAAGGCAGGGCTGGAGAGAAATGAGTCCTGGGGTAATTCCTGCAACCACCCATTAATGTTGTCATCATCAGTGTCTGAGCAGTTTTGATCTGAAAGTAAGATAGCCCTTTAAAAAAGTTTTCTGTGGTCATAAGATTAATCCTGGAACCCAAAAGTCATTTCCAATTTGACCATGCTGCCACACTTTCCACAAAGCCACAACTCTGAGCCATGGTCAGAGTTCTGAAAGCAGCTCTGAGGTTGTCATTTCAGAGACACTTGTTTGTATTTGTTTTCCGGAGCCCACTCAGTAGCAGAAAGAAGCTATAGGCTGTTAGAAGGGATGGAACAATGAGTCAGAAGGCCTCCCGACTTTTACACTAATTCAAGGGGGAAATCCCTGAAGACTACCTATGGCTTATG